ATAATTTTTTATAGATATGGCTGTGGTCAGCAGTGCTCTTTTTCTGCGAGACGAGTGGGCTAATTTAGTAGTATGGCTGATACGTTTATTACTCTTTTTGGGTTTAAAGGACTCTGAATGTAAACTCATTTTCCTTGGCATTGGTGGCCCTGTTGGTACTAGGTATCTCTCTATTTTCCTTTCCAATTTGTTTTTCTCTTAATTAATTATAGGTGTTCATTATTAATTGAATGATATATTTCCTATTGGTCAGGAAAACAGCTTTGATGTTGGCTCTGTGTAAATTCTTGCATTACAAGTACAATCTTGTTCCTACGAGTATAAATTTAAGACAAAAATTTGACATTTTTTTTTTGTTCAATTTCAAGTTAATTGACTACTGTTGAACATTAATATTCCAACTCAATGAACCCAATTTTAGCTGACCGAGTAAATTAGGAGTTGCTGCTCTACCCAAAAAGGAGTTCATTTTTCTTTTGTTTCTGGTGATATAAAGAACATTAATTTGTAAACAACTATCAATTTTGCAAATGCACCTCAAATCTATGCCTTGGATTTATTTGAAGCTGAGGTTTTGTACAAACATCTACAGATTCTGACAAAATAATACAGGCTCAACTAAAAGCTATACGTCGTAAATTCTCAAATGAGGCATAATCTGTGCTCTTCTTTACCATTAATCATTTTAAATACATGATAATGTAGATTGAGAGATTGACTAAGAGCTCAAGAGCTATGTTGTTATTTCATATTACAAATGATATATTCACAAAAGAGGGTGGTGAGTTCTTGGTTAAGCATGGAGCACTGCCTGAGTAGAGGATCCGTGCTGTTGAAACTAGAGGATGCCCACATGCTGCGCTTCATGAAGATATCATCATTAACCTTGGCCTTCTTGAGGAGCTTTCTAATTTGGAGAGGAAATAAAATAGCAGTGATCTAATGTTTAGGTAAAAAATGGCACAGATTTTGTCACATAGAACTTTACTATCTATGACTATATGTTTAATGATTTTTTTTTTTTTTTTAAATGAAGAGATTGACTAATGAAGGTGGTTTATTTAATTTTGTTTAACTTGTTACTTGATGATCTTGGCATATATTTATTTTATTTATTTAGTGGGTGAAGATTTTATTATTATTTTTTTGATAAAAAAAATGGTGTTTTTGTCTTTCCAGATTAAATGCTACCATAAAATTTAATTATGATTTTTTTTTGCATTCAATAACCAAATTCTTTTTGCCAATCTATTCTTGATAAAAATCTATCTAAATCAAACATATATCTTCTATTTTTTTTTTTTATTTGCATGAAGTAATAATCAAATTATTTCTACCAATCTATTATTGATAAAAATCTATCTACATCAAACATATATCTTTTATCTTTTTATTTGCAAGAAATAATACAATTATTAATGCTTTTTAAGAAAGTAAGAGATGAAGAGTTTAGCAATATAGAATTTATGCTTTACAAATCAGGAGATGTTATAGGTTCACTCTTCAACAATGTAAAGTTTTGATTAATAGTTAGGGTAGTTACTTTGATAGAACATCTACATGCTAGTGTACAAGTTTATGTAGTAATCGTGTTAGTATAAGAAGAAAAAAAAATCAAATATTAATTAGCCTGCAGACGTATTTATTTGATTGAATTTTGCTTTTTTTTTTTTAGAAGTTCCAAAAGAGTAAAACTAATTTGCATTCTAGCCATAAAATCCTACTAGCAATGTTCCCCCCCCCCCCCCCCCCCCCCCCCCCCCCAATCATATAATAGTTTGGAATCTTAACACTTTGACAGTTTGATATCTTAACATTTTTATTCAATAATAATAAAAAAATTTCAATGCTGTTGAACAAAATGTTGGCCAAATGACAAATATTGATGCCATGCTGTGTTTCATTCAAACTGGGTTGGGCTATTGATCCCAAAATCGACAAAAAGCTGCTTGTTTGGCCCCAATCAATAAATATAGTCACAGTAACACGTTAGAAATGGACCAAAGTACACTTTTTCAAAATATGAATACTTAATAAACTTTATGGAATGCCCCCTCCATGCGTTGGTGTTGTTCATCATCGGTTCACAACTATTCTGACAACCAAATCCTCTCCCTATAGCGGTGTTCGTTCGGTAATTTAGTATGGTTTCAAAAATTTTTTATAGGTTTTTGATTAATCGAATTGTCTAAAAAAATCAAAACTGAACTGAATTATTATTCAGTTTTTTCGATTCGGTTTCAAAATATATCGATTTTTTTATTTGATAATTCGGTTTTCACTCGTAATTAATACTCAAGATTTTTTTTTCTTATATTTGTTTCGATAAAATATTTTACAATTAAATTGGTCAACATAAAATATTGTATGATCAATGTTTAAATTTAGTTCATTTGTTGAATAACATTTTCAACTCTTGAAGTTTTATAAAATAAATGATAAATTAATCCCTCTAGTTTTGAGAAACAAATTTAGTCTTTATATTTTGATTTTGAGAAACATTTTCAATTTATTTTTAAAATAAATTAATATTAATTTAAGCATGATCAACATTGATTAGTGAACTAATATATAATTTACTTCAATTTCATAAAATATTTTTTGAACATGAATCTACTTAAGATACCATTCAACTATTTCAATCATGAATTTTTTTATAAAAAAAATTTAATAATTCGGTTATTCGGTTAACCGATTAAAAAAAAAAAGCTGAAACCAAAACCAAAAACTCGATTATATATCGGTTCGGTTTTTTTAAAAAATTTCTAAAATAAAAAACCACACCGAAATTGATATTTCGGTACGGTTTGGTTTGGTTTTTCGATTTTCACCGTATAGTGAACACCTCTATCTCCATGACAAACAATAGATAATCCCAATGTTTAGCTGCCAAAATTTTTCAAAAAAAAATTTCAATTCAATACTTATATTTATAAAGAGTTTAATTCTATCTCTTTACAAGGACAAACCGATCAACATTTTGTTAATTTTAATGTCAAATACAAAATTTCAAATCATTACCATTACTATGTATCTAAAAGATGGTTCATATCCTCACAAATCACTATTCACTAGTTTTTTTTTTTTTTTTTTTAATCTCTAGAATTTTAAAATAAAAAATTTAACCCCTTGGTTGATGCACTACACATGTTTTTTTTTCTTTTGATTTTTTCCATCGATTTATATTATTTTTTTTATTTATTTAACTGGATGTTAAAATTTTGAAAAATCAATTGTTATTTTTTTCACATAAACTCGGTATATTTTTAGATTTTAGAATGAACGAGTGAGTTTCACTCGTTTATCTCCTCACAAATAACTATTCAACGGTTTTTTTTTTATAATTTTTAAATCGTTTCATTTTGGTCCGTAGAATTTTAAAATAAATGTTTTTTTAACCCCCTTGGCTAATGCACTAAACACGTTTTTTTTAATCAATTTATATTCTTTTGGATGTTGAAATTTTGAAAACTCAATTGTTATTTTTTTCACATAAACCGACGGTTATATACTATATAGGGAATATTTTTTGATTTTAGAATAAATATATACTATTCTTATATTTTAAAATTGACATTTTCAATTTATTATAAAAATTCACATCAAATTAATTTTTATTCTTATTTTTATATTAAAAATTAACTATACATCTTTCAACATAATTAACTTCTTTTTTTTCATATAAACCGACGATTATATAGTATATACGATATGTTTTTAAATTTTAGAATAAATATATACTGTTCTTATTGTTTAAAATTAATTTTTTCAATTTATTATAAAAATTCACGTCAAGTTAATTTTTATTCTTATTTTTATATTAAAATTAGCTATACATGTTCCAACATAATACAAATTATTTAATTTAAATATTTGTTAACATTATAGAAAAAATTTATTTAAAATAAAATAATTAAAATAATTTTTTAAAGGAATGAACCAATTATTCAAATATAGTTTTTTATGCTAATTTTATTGATTGTTTTGTCTATATATATATATATATATATATATCAAATGCATATACTTGAAAAAAAAAATCTTCTCACCAACATTCAATAAGAATAAAATTTTATTTTTTCATTGGTTAATTTTTATGCAAGTCTATACATTAATTGTAAATTTATTTTTTGAATACATTATTATTAAAAAATAATTTTAATTTTTTTAATTCTTAATTAATATTTCAAGTTTAAATTATTACAATTTTTTATTTAAGAATCCCTAAATAAAGAAGAATAAATCATGTTTTTTAAGTAGAAATTTTATTAAAAACACAAAAAAAAAAACATTTATAATGAAATAAAAAATTAATTAAAAAATTTTAAAAATTTGAAATGATTTTTTTTTCTATCTACTCGTATCGTTGTGCGTATTATTTCAAAAATTAACCTTCTCATGAGCATTAAATAAGAGATTTTTTTATTTGTTAATTTTTGAAAAAGTTTATTCATTAATTATAAATTTACTTTTTATAATAAAATATTATGAAATTTATATTTTTAAAGTTTTTTTTAATTCTTGATTAATATTTTAATTAAAATTAATATAATTTTTTATTTTAAAATCAATTCATAAAGAAGAATGATTTATGTTTTTTGAAAGAGAAAATTTATAAAAAATATTAGAAAAAATTAATTAAATAAAAAATTATAATTATAAAATTTTTGAAATGATTTAGTTTTATCGGACCTATAACGTAGCTCGGATAACCGACTAGTATACTACTAAAATACGTGGCAAAAAGGTAACTACTCCGTCCGCATAGTACTATTTGTCTCTCCTGGGCTTATGCTGACAAGGGCTTTAATAGGCCAGGACCTAAATCCATCCTCCAACACTTTGCATCCTTTAACTACCTTCTGTTACTTGAAGCTCCTCCCTCACTCGTCTCCCCAACAATCAAAATCCAGAGCGCAAAACCCTAATTTAAGACGAATTCATGAAATTCTGATTCTGATTCATCTAAGTAGGAGGAAGCAAAGCAAAATAAAGCAAGCATGACCAACAGCATTGCTGAAAAGAGAAGACAACAAGAAGACGAAGACGATGAAGAAGACGGTGATCTTGAGGGTTGGGGAGAGAGAAATTACACTGATGAGAGATCTTGGGAAGCTTTACAAGAGGATGAGTCTGGACTCCTTCGTCCTATAGACAACAAAGCGATGTACCATGCTCAGTATCGCCGTCGCCTTCGTTCTCTTTCTGCTGCTTCTAATTCTCATCGCATTCAGAAAGGCCTCATTCGCTTTCTCTACATTGTCCTCGATCTCTCCAGGGTAATAATAATGTTATTCTTTTATTTTCAATTTCTGACTACATTTTTGCTATATTCAATGAAAAATTAGGAGGGTTATCCTCCAGAGTTATTATTAATCCTTGAAGGGTTTGTTAAGTGGGTTTGCGCCCTCCATTAAGAAAATAATTTCTTATGAACACACTGATTCTGGTTTTGACCTCCTGAGGGAATTAGTCACTGTGTGGGAAAGCTGGCCTGTGGATACCATTACAGTTAAAAATAAAAATGAAGTTATCATGTTCTTTCATTCATTTTATCTGAGAAAAGGAAAGAGAAAACATTTTTCTGAACGACCACTTGGTCTTTAAATGAATTGAAAGTAACAAGTTAGGAAATGATTTTTGTAGGCAGCATCCGTGATGGACTTTCGACCAAGCAGAATGGCTGTGGTTGCGAAAAATGCTGAGGCTTTTATAAGGGAGTTTTTTGACCAGAATCCACTTAGTCAGATTGCTTTGGTTACTATTAAAGATGGGGTTGCTCATTCTTTAACAGAGCTTGGTGGGAGTCCTGAGTCTCATATCAAGGCTTTGATGGCTAAGTTGGAATGTTCAGGTGATTCGTCACTACAGAATGCACTGGATCATGTTCATGAGTATCTTGATCAAATTCCATCATATGGTCATCGCGAAGTTCTCATCTTATACTCTGCGCTCACTTCCTGTGATCCGGGAGATATAATGGAGACAATCCAGAAATGCAAGAAGTCGAAAATTAGATGCTCAGTTATTGGCCTCTCTGCAGAAATGTTCATATGCAAACATCTTTGCCAAGAGACTGGTGGATTGTACTCTGTTGCTTTGGATGAGGTGAGTTATATTAACTACGGGGTCTTGCAAGACTGAATAGAATTTTCGCGAAGCTTTTATCTTATTTTTCTAGGAAATTTGAGAAACCTGTTATGCTGTAAACAATCTGGTTGTTATGGAAAACCAAAAAGTTTGCAATAACCTTGAGTGTTTCAGAAATTCCAAGAAAGCAATTTTTCTACGAAACAGGAAGGCTTCTAATATCTTCTTACTGGTCCAAAAGCTGAAAGCTTATTTCATAAACACAACTGCTGTGTGTTTTATTTTGCAGAGCCACTTTAAGGATTTAATATTGGAGCATGCACCCCCTCCACCGGCAATAGCAGAATTTGCAATCGCTAACTTGATCAAGATGGGTTTCCCACAAAGAGCAGCAGAGGGTTCCATCTCAATATGTTCTTGTCATAAAGAATCTAAAGTTGGGGAGGGATATATTTGTCCAAGATGTAAAGCACGTGTATGTGAGCTTCCTACTGAGTGCTGTATTTGTGGGTTGACACTCGTTTCTTCACCCCATTTAGCAAGGTCGTATCATCATCTCTTTCCAATAGCACCATTTGATGAGGTGAAGCCATCATGTCACAACGAACCACATCTCAAATCACAGAAAACTTGTTTTGGTTGCCAACAAAGCCTTGTCAATCCTGGTGAGTTATATAGATGTGAAGGTTTTGCGATTGAACAGGCTCACAGTAATTTTTTCTCTGTCCATGACCATGCCTATGGAATACAGATATAATATTTAGATTTGGATGAATTATGTTCTCATGTTGCTATTATTATTGGGGAATCACATATGGAGATGTTTGAAATTCTCTTTCCACAACCTAAAGTATATTTGAGTGTCTTTGATACATCATGATAACCTAGGTCCTTTGTTACCTTTGAGTGTATGTGCCTATTATTCAGGAAGAAAAATATTTTAACTCCCCTGTCAGACTTCTGGACCGATGTTAGCTGGCAGATTTCTTTGTGCTGACATTAAGCTGTTCACCCATTTTCTCTGCTTAAAACTATAACTTATATACTAAAAAGCTGGTCTACCTCTTATTTTATCTTTATTTATTTTTATATTTTTTCAATATTGCTGATGGATTTGTGGTTAAGACTCATTGTGTTTGGCAACCATTCTGATTGTTTTGTCACAGGCAATAAACCCAGCCTTCATGTTGCTTGCCCAAACTGCAAACAGTACTTCTGCCTTGACTGTGACATTTACATTCATGAGAGCTTGCACAATTGCCCTGGTTGTGAGAGCCGTAGAGTTTCATAGTTGGGCACTGCTGCACCGGTAATGAAGACTGACAAACTATTGCCGAGGAGTGTTCTACTTTGCTTCTGCCACATAAATATGGCGTGCCCTTTATTGCTATTCCTTCAAACACATATAAGCAAGTTTAGATTTTTTTTTTCCTTTTTCATGTAGGACGTGGTCACCATTGCAACACACCAACAGATACCTAACTTGATTGGTCAGGCTAGTATTGCCATGATGCTTTTTTGAGCGCAGATACTTGGTTCTACAGATAAGGCTGTTGAGCAGAGCTTGGATCACACTAATCGTGCGAATCTTCATGCCTTGAAGAAAGATGTACAGAAAGAGTTCAAGGACCACATGCATCACATGGATTGCAATTTCTGTAATGACATGTATTTCCATTATGGTTGTACCCCTAATTTGTGACGCTTAAAGTGTTTCTTAAGGAATTAGAATCTTCATAGAACCCTCTCATGTTAAAACTCATATGTTCTTTTTCCTGAGAGGGTCCATCAGTAATCTTGATTCTCGGAATTACCATATCATAGAAACAGCCCATACTGTCGGGGACTTCCAGGTATTTTTTGTATTCAATTTATGATACTCAAAAAGAAATAAGATATTGTATCTTAATTCCTGCAACTGTTTAGATTTGGTTGGGTATGAAAATCTTACTCTCTTTTCCAAGACATCATTGAACCATGCTTTCCTCTATTTGCCGAGCATACTTATTTGCACAGTTTGGAAAATAAACTCTGACAAAGTGGTTTTTATTAGGTTTAGATCCTCTGATATCACAAATATCGGGTCATGATCGCAGTTAACTTTATTGTACTTGAGGAAGATAGAGCTGCGGAATCATCAATCACTGCCTTCATCAAGGTCATGCTATCACAGCAGATTACCCTAAGAACCTTCCCTACCCTCCATTTATCCTACTATGTTGAAAGTAAAACACCTATGAATTTGAAAGTTGCGAAGTAGGGAAATTTATGGTTTAATGGCAGTTGTGATTTGGAGGAATCAAAGGATGTGATGAGTAAAATGGATGTTTTTCCCCTCCAAAAACATTTAATATTCCTAGAGTTAGTATTGGCCAACCTCATGCGTTAACGCATTTAATATTCTAAGAGTTAGTATTTCCAGAGGTTAACGCATTTAATATTCCTAGAGTTAGACTAGTTTCCATCGGGTACTGACTGGAGGAGAGGTTACATTTACTAAACAAAACAAAGTCCTCGAAGTCGAAGGAGGAAGCCTCCCCCTTCTCTATCTGCCAATCTATGCTCAGCATCACTCGTTCATCAAACAAAGAGCTTTTTTCGATTTGATGTGATACATCCAATTTCAACATGGTTCATGTAATCAGGTGATACATCTTTTCTTGGTAGCAATGTCTCTGGCAACAGTTGGTTCTCTATGGCGACCATCAATTTTTCAACATGGATATCTCAAGCAAGTGGTGTCCTTGCGGCTATTTGGGGCGAGAACAATGAATTCTTGGCTGCAATAGATGAAGGGGATCTTCCAGATGGGGGGAACAGGTATAGACTCACGGTAGAGAGCTTTTACATTGGACCAATTGAAGGCTGCAACCTTCAATTTTAGAAATGATATGGTTCTGGGCAAGGGAGGTTTTGGCAGTGTCTATAAGGGTTGGCTCAAGGAGGAGGTCTCATCTCAGGATACAAGGAAACGAGCAACTGCTTTCAAGAGATTGGATTCAAGCAGCAAGCAAGGATTTCGACAATGGTGGGTAATTTCTATTCTGTTGTTATCTTCAATGCTGCAAGAGATATCAACAGTGGCTAAACGAAGTTTAATCTGTTATTTGAACATTGCATTAAGGTTATGAATTGTTGCTTACTTATTTGGTTGTCATTAATTGGTATAGACAGAGGTTGGATTCTTAGCAAGGCTTTCTCATCCTGACATTGCAAAAGCTGCTGGGCTACTGTCAGGAAAATAAGGAACTACTTATTGTCTATGAATTCCTACTTATTGTCTATGAATTCCTGGAAAAGGGCAGTTTGAATTACCATTTGTTTAGAAGTAAGAACCGATAAGCATTGTTGAATTCTGGAGTTACTAGATGAACGCACGAGCATTTGCTCGGGCAGAGTGGTGAATTTTGCTGATAAAATAACTTCATTTTTCTTATTTATGCACTGCATGTACTTGTGCAGAGAGCTCAGATCCGATGCTTTAATGGGAAACAAGGCTTAAAATTGTGATAGGGACTCGAGCCTTGTGTTACTTGCATACGATGGAGAAGCTGATAATTTTCAGAGATTTCAAGTCCTCGAATGTATTGCTTGATCGCGTATATAATCAGAGCATTGTACCAAAAAGCATTTCACCGCCACAAAATCATTTAAATTCAAGTGATTCGTGACTAGTTGAAGTAGTTCTAACTTCTCATTTTCTTTACTCCTATACTCCGACTATATAGACTTTGGCTTGGCAAAATGGGGACCTAAAGATGATTTTTCCTATGTAAGAGGATATGCTACTTATGGGTATAGTTGGTTATATTGCTCCTGACCATGTCGCCTCAGGTAATTTCTCTTGCCATGTAAGTTTGAATGTTTCCATGATGGAATGATGTGAGCTTGCTCCAAAATTCTGACGCTACTTAGCCTGGCAAAGAGGGCAAAACTGGGTTGTGTGGTTGAGTTCACATATCCTAGGTTTGAGTCCTCTCTCACGAAGGTGGCCTGAACTTAGTGGTGTTAAGGCCAAAAGTTCGTTATTTCAAAAGGAGTTCACCCAATAGCAATTTCTTGTCAGTTGTAACAACAGAAGTAAAAAAAAAAAAAAAAACATTAAGGCCACCTTTAGAAATTGCAATGACATTGATGTTATGCTGATTGTTTGGGAATTTGAATACAAAGAGCGATGTGTATGGTTATGGTATTGGGTTTTCTCGAGATGCGAACTGGCTTACGAGCAATAGATGAGCGACAACGTTTTGTGCAATTAATTGGAGGTAAAATATTCTATCGAACAGGCATTGGAAATAGCTCGACTTGCAGTGAGATATTGGGACGGATTGAAGCTCGACGGCGCTGAACTGGAAAATCAACAGCATCTGTATCACCTTGCCCTTCACCAAAAGGGCAAATGACAAGAACTCGAATTCTTTTCCTCAGAAGGGTTAGCTTTTGATACATGACCATCTGTAGTAAAAGGGTTTTGGGAAAGGCTGATTTTCTTTCAAGTAGCATCACATCTATGAGGAGTTCATGTGATTAATTTTCTATGAATATTATTCCTGAGAGGATTGGTTTTCAATTTGTATATTATCAATAGAACAAGCAAGTTTGATGAAAATTATTCACAAGAAATCACAAGATAATTCAGCTTTTCCTTCGAAGCTATCCTTCAGATCCAAATGCTCATTTGATTTTAATTGCTGACCTTTATGCCGCGCACAACGAAAGTCTTCTACTGTTCCAAAACATATTTTCCACGTTAATATGAATGCATTCTAATGCTGGGAATGTCATTATATAGTGGTACACGGCCACAAAAATCTCATCTTTCTGCCTGAAAATCTTGAGATCAGATCATCCTGATCATAGCTGAAGATTAGCTGATCATCCTGATAGCAGATCAATTTCTTAATTAAATGTCAAAAACCCAAGGAAAAAAAAATTCAGTTTCCAAGATAAGTTCAGATTTTTGTTCTCCCACCAAAAGTATGGATAACCGAGAACGTAATGAAGTATTTCAGCTACCCAATCAATACAAAACTCGTCCAAAATAACAAACGGGGCGCTAAAAGGAGAGAATTAAAAGCTAAAATCATCTAAGAAAGATCCTCTCCTTATAATTTCTGTCCAATCCCTCAAAAGAAGATGCTCAAGACATTCTTTGTGCCGCCTCCTTGGCTAAGACTCTCTCCTTAGCTTTAGTCTTGGCCAGAGATTTGGAACCCATGATGCCACCACCCCATTTCTTGCGGTGCTCATCAAACTTGTCGTTGAAGTTCGCCTGCAGTTGAAGAGAACAAATGTGAGATAAGCAAGGAAAAAACAGAATTCAAGAGATAGGTAAAACATGCAAAGTTGATTACAGAAAATCAAATCAAATCAAGAAATCACTTCCAACCAGTAAACTGCATGAAAATCACAGGCAATGCTGTTAGAAAAAAACTGTTCATTGTGGGATGAGCAAACAAAGGACAAACTGCCCCTTTCTGAATTTGCTATCTTCTAGGAGGGGTTTCAAATATCAATTATTTATTTATTTAAATATAACTTAAAAAGAACAGTTTGAGGGATGGAAAGGCCTAGTAACAGACATCCTGAATAACGAACAAAGACATGATCATAATATTTTATGCCGTCATAGTGTAGTGCAATTGCTCATCAAGATATTACCTTGACTGCCTCCAAAACCCGGCTAAATTCCAATTTGTCCTCGTTCTTTACTGAAGTAAGGCACAAAACTGAAGCTGTTTTCTTGTGGACAATCTGTTTTTTAAACACAGAGATCCAGGGTCTGTTATTAAAAAAAATCAATTGAAAAACTTATTATATGCATAGAAAAAAGTGCTGAGAAATCACCGCTCCCAGTCGTGCCTTGCCCTTCACAATTGCATAAGGAACCTCCATTTTCCGGCACAATGCAGGCAACCAAACAACAAGCTCAATTGGATCCACATCATGAGCGATAACCACCAACTGGGCCTTGTTCTACATGCATCACGTAGAGTCTTAGGAGAAAACAATTTACACTAGACAAATAAAAGGTAGAAAGGAAGGGAAAATATATAAACACACATATATAAACAGAGGGAGGAAAATCAATTTTGCATAAAAAGACAAATAATTGACAGAAATGAGGAAATGAGATTAAGAGATGAAACAACACCACCAATTCAGAAGTCGTCTTCTCCTATAAAACCTTAATTACAACAGAACTCCCAAATAGCTCAATTAAAAAAGGTAACAAAGCACCAAATCATCTATAATCACCTTGTTACCCAATTAGAAGCAAAGATAATTAAAAATAACTGTAGAAACTAACATCAGTACCTGCTCAATGAGGTAAGTAACATGGTTAAGACCATATTTCACAACAATAGGCTTCTTTGATTCCACAGTCTTCCCCTCAGCTTCAGCTTGTGCTCTTTTAAGAAGCCTTTCCTTCTTAGCAGCCTTGTCCTCAGGTCTATATTTTAGCAACAGCTTAAAAAGTTGTGTAGCTGTAACATAAAATGACGAAAACAAAAAACCACAAATCAAAACCAGACATTATCTGCAGCTTCAGTAATTAAAAAAAATGCATAATGCACCACAATAACTATAAGAATAATGCACGCTACATTTAAGCCTGGACATCCATGATCCTTGGAACCAAAGTTTGTCAACTTTTCCAGAATAGGACCAAAAAATTTACCAAGGTTCTTGTCAAGTGTTTTTGTGAATTGGTTAACAGCAGGAGGAACCTTCAAACGCTGTTTCAGTATCCTTCTTTGCCTCTGAATACGAACAACATGTGGCCACTTGACAAACCTAGTCAAGTCCTTCTTTGGTGGAAGTGCACCGCCAATTCCAAACAGCTTTGGTCGTTTTTCAAACAAAGGGTTTACTACCTTTTCCTGTAATTAATGAACATCAATGCACCAAACCTTTAGTTGCAAAGGAGCAGAATATAAACCATAACTATCAATAATGAAGCAGAGTTATAACTAATCACATGCAAGTTTTAAGAATTGAGTATAAATCATAATCTTCTAACATTTGTATTCTCAACTTTTTAGAATTTGTGATCGGATGAGATTAAGGAGATATTGAGGCAAACACTGGTAAGCTCTATCTAGCTACAAAGTTCAAAAAGGAAATAAACAAGTACATCCACCGAAGAGAGAAAGAGGGAGGGGAGAGAGATCCCATACAGGTTTCTTCTTTGCTGCCACTGGGCCCTTCACGCCTCTTTTGGGAGCCTGTAGTAAACATAAAAACAAGCCAATGAATCAAAAAAGGGAAAGAAACCAAAGAACACTATTCCAAAATGTAGATGACACGAATGGTGCTAATAAAAAAATGTGTATAGAGCAGCAGAAAGTATGTAGTACTAAAGCCAAAAAAGTTTAGGTCTTTGTCACCGATATCTACTGTGCATAGTGTTTTAAAATCCAGCAGTTCCACACAACACCCACAATTTCAACTTCTCATAAAGGATTTGATGGTCTCAAACTTCTTTAAAACCCATCTCAGCACATGAGTCCCTTGAGCTTTTCTTTGCCCAACAAAATAACAACATGGGCAATACACGAAGCGTTTTTAGCTTAACTTCTGATTATTGGACTTTATTTTATGATGCTTTCTAAACCAATCCCAACTTGAAACATCTACGCTAACAATGATTCAAAATACTTACTATTTAATTATCTAGAGTAACTCCACTTAAAAAGAAACTTTACAACAAAATAGTAAAATCATCACGACTATGGTAGCCAAAAGTCGTCTGTCATTCAGCAATTTATAAACCATATCATAGCAATTATAAAGAGCCCCACATAAACCCTCACGGCGGAGATACTGAAGATAACAAAATGCAGTGAAACTTCAATCCGTACAACATGAAGAGCAGCAAATTAGCTGCCATCCCCCATAAAAACTAAACTCTGGTCATCAATCAGTTAGCAGACAAAAAACACACAACAGAAACACGAAAATGTTTTTCACTCAAGCAGGTTCTAATTTTTGCGCGCCTTTAATGTTTTTTTTTTTGGCCTAAAGTTGCTGCCTTTCCACACAAAAGACTAAAAAGACTGAAACTTCAGAAAAGTAAATTATATATTCTCCATTCCCACAGAAATAAATCCATCAGCATCAATTAAAAAAGAAACTAGCATAATTTTACACCAAAACAACAGTTAAGCTTTTTACGCACAAGATATACATATATTGTAAGAAAAATGAAATGGGCATGAAAGAAGAAGAGTTATGCATGTTACCATTTAGAAGACAAGACTCGCAGATCGAAACTCTGACTGTTTTTGAGGTGAAAATGGGGTCGAGGCAGCAGAGCAGCCAAAGCGGCTGGTTTTAATAGGGTTTGCCCAAACCCTAAATTGTTCTCTCTCGTCTTACATTTTGATCCCTTTATTATGTTATTTGTTACATTTTGGTCCTAATTTTTCTTTCTATCATTTATTAATCCTCTTTTTTTTTTTTTTTTTTTTTTTTAATATGTGATTTGAAATAGGTTTTGTCAAATTACACGTGGAATTCAGTATCATAATTATTATCCAATTGCCGTATTATATTTCCATTATTGCAATTACGATTCTTTCTGAGTCTGGTTCCAAATTGCCAATCAATAAAAATTGCTTATTGTTTGTTTCTATAAGAATAAACACGTTAATTGATTAAAACCAAACTTTGCTTAAGTTGAATCAAGGAAATTCTTTACTCTTTATGAATCCTGATTCTATGATATACTTAACTAGTATTTTTAGCCCTTGCATGTGTATCATTAAAAAATGTATTAAATGTTCAAGTTAGTTTTTAAAAATGAAAAAAATTAATTTAGTATTTGAAATCAATCAAACACTCTATAAGAACATAATTTTAATAAAATCATTGTGTAGTCCAAAGCCTATGGACCTTATGATGAAAAAAAAAAAACATTTATTTTATTGCACATAATATAATCTTTAAGTGAGAATCACAAAATAAATATAAGTATAAGAAGTTCAACGTTGCATTATATATTTTTCTTTTGATCAATGGAAGGCTAGGACTATAAACAATAGTATCTTTGCATTTCATTTTTATTACAATTGATGGAGAAATTTATATTGTTTCAATAGCTAATATCAATAGTTATTTCATAAAATAAAAAAAATGCAAATAAGAAATATAAAAAAAGAGATAAAAGGTTATAAAATTTACTTTTGAGTCTAGGTGGAAGTATTTTTTTTTTTTTTTATGGAATCTATTTTGATTTGTTCTCTTATTTTTATTAACGTTCTTTTTAAAATAGAATCATGAAATAACTATTAATAGTTGATAAGGATAGGGAATTTGATAATGTATATATAAGATAAGAGTTAGATATTGTATATATTTTAGTAACTTACGAGTAATAGAAACTACTATCTCTAAAACTTACTTTAACTCGTATCTCTATCTCCGAAACTTATTGTAATTATATCTCTATCTCTAAAACTCTATTTAAAGAGTTTACTATAATAAAAAGAGTGTGTGAAATCTTGACAATCAATTTGTAGTTTCTTCATGGTATCGAGCCTCTCTAGGCTTATCGGCCAAAGTATAAGGTTATAAAATTTACTTTTGAGTCTAGGTGGAAGTATTTTTTTTTTTTTATGGAATCTATTTTGATTTGTTCTCTTATTTTTATTAACGTTCTTTTTAAAATAGAATCATGAAATAACTATTAATAGTTGATAAGGATAGGGAATTTGATAATGTATATATAAGATAAGAGTTAGATATTGTATATATTTTAGTAACTTACGGTAATAGAAACTCTATCTCTAAAACTTACTTTAACCGTATCTCTATCTCCGAAACTTATTGTAATTATATCTCTATCTCTAAAACTCTATTTAAAGAGTTTACTATAATAAAAAGAGTGTGTGAAATCTTGACAATCAATTTGTAGTTTCTTCATGGTATCGAGCCTCTCAGGCTTATCGGCCAAAGTATACGCCTCTCTCTTTTAAGTTGCTACTACAATTTTTTTTTCTTTTCATCAAACTCATTATCGCATACGACCTAATTGCCATTACTGCCCAACCTCATCCTACCACATAATCTTACTCCCATGCACTAACCTTAATCACAAACATTGTCGCCCACCGTTATCAATTTTCTATTAAACATGTACTTGCCTAAGTTAGCTTTTGCCTTCTTCTTAGCTCGTTACTATTCACCTTCTTCTTTCTCCACCAGTCTTGATCTTCTCTACACATATATTGCCACTACCATGAGATCTTCCTCTTACTCCAAATCCATCGACCTTCCTCTAGAATCACCCAATCATGCCATCACACAAATTACTTCTCCTCTTCGCGTTCAACATCGGCTTTCTCTACTCAACTCCATGAATTACATTCTTTAGCGTACTCAAATCACACCCATTCTCTAAGACTATAGATTCATACATCATGTTGATGGTTCTGAATTTGCATCACTTATCCAAATTAATGGAGCTCATAATCCAATTTATTAAGATTGGTTTATCAAATACCAACTGGTGCTAAGTCTGGATAATTACTTCTCTCTTTAAAGGAGTTATATCACGAGTGGTTGGGTGTAACCTTTGCCCATGAAGCATGGTAGAAATTGGCCACCACCTATGCTTTTGGATCTCGAAGCTCATGTTCGTCAATTAAAATCCCATCTTCACTAATTGGAACGTAGGAATGAGGATATCACTATTTATATGCAGCGTGTTAAGCACACCTCTAATCGACTTGTAGCTCTTTAACATCCAATCATAGAAGATGATGTTATTGATGCTATTTTACAATCTTGAATCTATTTTACAAGCTTATCACTCACAACATTGAAGCTCGACTTCAATCAATAAGTTTTGATGACCTCTTTGGCTTACTATTGTGAATAAATACAATTGAAGAGAGAGAGATCTCTCTCCTCCAACTAAAATTTTACCCACTTCCCACTATACCCTATGATAGTCCTTTAATTCTCGTGGAAGAGGATGATGGAAGGGATGTTATTGCTCCTCCAACCCGCATACCTCCCATCAATCGACTAGTTAACCATAACTTTCATCTCCTCCATCCACTACCATGACACCAATCTGCTACAATTATCATGGGGTTGGGCATCTCAACTCGCTTGTCCCTCTCCTAAATACACAACAAATACTTGACCCCCTTTACTACCTACTCCTACATCTCATCTAGCCTCAAACCAAACCAACCCTAAATAGGTCCTAAATAGTGAGTTACACACCATCTTACGACCGATCTTCATAATTTAATACTTCATTCCGAATACTTAGGACTTGAGGATGTTGTAGTAAGTAATGGCGATACCCTTCCTATTTCTCATATTAGATCTTCTTTTTTATCTTTATATAATCATTCTAATACTTTTGGTCATATTCTTCATGTGCCTAATTCTTCTCAAAATTTATTAATTGTATCTGCCTTTACTAGATCTAGCAATGTCTATTCGGAATTTTTTTCCGACTATTTCATAATTAAGGATATTCGCACAAAGAAAATCCTCTACAAAGGATCTCCGGATAATGACTTTTACACTATACGAATTGAGTCTTTATTATCAAGCATATTCTTATAGTCTATCCACATGGCATACTCCTCTAGGTCATGCTTCAATGCACACAATAGTAAAATTTTTGAGTCGGTTTAGTATTTCTCTTTCTTATAAAAACATGAATACTTTGTGTCATGCTTGTTGCATTAGCAAAGCACATCAACTTTATTTTTCTATTTTAATTTCTCGAGCACAAGCTTCTTTAGAAATGATGTGTTTTGATTTATAAGGACCTTCTCCAATTTCATCTCTGCAAGGTCATAACTATCACATTGTGTTTTATGATCATTAAAGTAAATATAATTGAATCTATTTTCAAGCATAAATCCAAAGTTCTTAATTTTTTTTAATCAAATTTTAGCATCTAATTGAAAAACTTTTCAACCGATCAATCAAAAATTTTCAAGCCGATTAGAGGGGTGAATTTCAAAGCCATATATCTTATTTAGCAAAATCTAGCCTTGCTCGACATTCCTCGTATACTTGCACACCCAAACAAAATGGTTGTGTTAAAAGAAAGCACAAACACATCATCAAAGCCGACGGAGGATTGCTTCATCATGCACAATCCCCTTATACTTTTGGGATCATACCTTTTCTACTGCTCGCCTACTATGTCAATTATCTTCCTACCTCCTTACTTAATCATAAATCTCCTTATGAATTTTTTTTTTACAAGAAATTCTAGATTATGATTATTTATGTGTTTTTTGTTGCCTCTCGCTATATTTGGTTACGTCTATATGCTAAGCATAAATTGGAACCCCGTTCCTTTCATTGTGTTTTTCTTGGCTACAATCTATTACATAAAGGGTATAAGTGCTTAGATATTATATCTAATAAAATATGTATCTCACACCAAGTTATTTTTGATGAACGAGGTTTTCCCTTTTGAAGATATCAATGGAGGTGTTAACTCTACTATTAAAAATCCGATCAAAACATCCCTACCACACCAAATTTCCCAAACTTGCTCATGTGGTC